TTTTGAATCTAATGTTGTCAAAATGTCCTCAAGAAAAGACTGGATAGCAGTATAGGTAGATTTATTAGCTCGGAAACCATTTTGGGCACTAGAAATCAAATTATATTTATTTAAAAAACTTATAACTCTATTGTGTATTAAAGTTTCAAAGATTTTGGAAAATGCAGGAAGAATTGAAATTGGTCTATAATTATAGACCAATATATAGACCAATAATATAGATATTACTAATTATAATTAGTAATATCTTGAATTCGGCCCTTCTTTAGAATAGGCCGTACTTTGGCGATCTTCATCAGATTTGGAAAGGTACCTGTGTTTAATGAGAGATTAAATATGAAAGTTAACAGTTTATTTATAAACTGTATGCAGTGTTTAATTAATGATACCAGAATCTCATCAAAGCCAGACGAATACTTATTTTTTAGTTTACCAGTAACATTTAGTACCTCCTCTTCGGTAATAGGAGCCACAAACATCTTATTAGCAGGGACACACACCTGTCTAATATCCTTTGTATGGGTACACATCCTATCAACAATCTCTACGAAATGATCATTGAAATGATAAGAGAGAAGCTGGGGGTTTGTAACTAACACTGAACCAATTTCTATCGCAATAGTCGGATTTGAAATACAGCCTTTTCCTGTTTCTATCTTTATTATATTCCATAAGGCCTTTGTACTATTACTAGAATTTGCAATAATACGGTCATTTGCACGTTTTCGAGCAGCGAATAAGATCTTTTTATAGGTACTCTGGTATTTTTTTATATAATTTAATGCAGAAGCAGATAAAATCAGCTTTCTTTTTAACAAACGCAGCAACTGAAGCTTCTGTCTAGAAACTTTTATACCTTTAGTAATCCAACATACTTTATTACCTTTCTTTCTTGAGACTTCTTTTAAAGGGAAAAACCGATTGAAATACATAGTGAACTTGGATAAAAAGTAAGAATATGCCCTATTAACATCAGATTGGGAGTAAACCTCATTCCATGATTCAGATGCCAGATGGCAGTTAAACATGTCTATACTATTCCGAGAAAAGACTCTTTTTATTATAATATTTGAAGTGGAAGGAAGATTTACAGTTACATCCATAACAACCGCAAAGTGATCAGAAAACCACATTTCCATCACATTTGTTACAGAAGGATAGAAAATCTTGTTTGTTATCATGACATCTATTAATGAACTAGAGGAAGAAGTGACCCTTGTTGGACAAGGTACAGTATTTACTAAGTCATTTGACAACAATAGGCTAACTAAGGCTTTTTGGTGAGTTGTATCAGTCAATAAATTAATATTCCAATCTCCACATAAAATCAAGAAACATGCCTTTTTTGCAATCTTATTTATAGTTGTCTGTAACAATTCGAGAAAACTGTCCACATTACTCACTGGGGATCTATATATACATACCAATAATAATTTTAAGATCAATAAGTTCAACAGCTGAGATTTCAAATAACTTATCCCTACCTAAATTTGTAACAGTGGGAAACTCCTTGAACTTGAGTTCATTTAATATAAAAATACAGGAGCCCCCATGCTTGTCATCTTTTCTACAATAGTTAGCAACCAATTTATACTGATCAATATTAATATACATAAGTTGCTCATACTGGAGCCAATGCTCAGAGAAACATAAAATTGTAGGCTTATTTGACCAAGAATCCAGTAACACTTGAAATTCAAATAATTTGTTACTCAAACTTTGAACATTTTGGTGGAGAATACCCAGTTCCTGATAATTTGAGATTTTGTTACAACAAGATGGTAGAATAGACTGGTGTAATGAAGTTACCTTAAAAAATCCTTACTAACTTTTTTGTATGGTTGACGACGCGTTCTCTTCGAAGGTATTGAGTTATTTATTTGAGAATCATTTTCATGGTTACTAGACCTCACTGTAACTCTATGCCCCTGCAAAGGAAAATAAATGCCTTTATTTCTTCAAGCTTTACGTAGCAAGCTGTCAGTCAGTAGTTCAATATGGATCAAAGACCAAAGCGGTTGACACCCAAGCGATTTCTTGGAGAACAAGAAATATCTTACTTCTTCTCCAATGAGCTATCTGATGTCCCTTGTGAGTCTGCTAGTGATAGCGACTCACAATCTGATAGTGAGTGTGGCAGGGGCGAACAACAAATTGTGACCACAGACAGTGAAAGTGAAAGTGACCATAGCTCCAACGAATGTGCGGGTAGCAACATTGCGGGGACAGCCACATGGGGAAAAGTAGACAAGATGCCTGCTTTGGGACAGTTTACTGGAAATCCAGGAGTGAAGCAAATTCCATTGGACCCAACGCAAGTGCCTGAAGTAGCGGAACTGTTTTTTGGAGATAGTTTCTTTTACATGCTATGTCAGGAAACTAACACCGTGAACATTATGACAGAAGTTATAAGGCGTTGAAGTGGGTGGATGTCACTTCAGCAGAAATGAGAAAGTTTTTTGCAATTATCTTTCTAATGGGCCATACAAGGAGGGATAATCTGAAAGAGTATTGGTCAACAGATCCATTTTTAGAAATTCCATTTTTTGGCAAACTAATGAGTCGTAAGAGATTTGAGCAAATTTGGTGGTGTTTGCATTTCAGTGATAATGAACTGCAACCACAGTCAACAAGCAGGCTTTTCAAAATTCAGCCCGTATTGTACTTTTTCGTTCAGAAATTTCAGACAGTTTATAAGCCAAATCAACAACTGTCTTTGGACAAATCTATGATTCCTTGGAGGGGAAGGTTTCGTATGTGAACATATAATCCTGGGAAACTTACAAAGTATGGCCTACTTGAAGAAAGTTGTGAAAACCTCAAAACTTACATATGGCCTGCTTGTTCCTGTAGTTACTGAAAGCACTTCAGGCTATATTGGAAATTTATAAATTTATTCTGGTGAAGGAAAGAAATTACAAATAACTATTCTTTCCGTTTTGGAACCCTATCTTGATCAAAATTACCATGTCTATCAAGACAATTATTATAACAGTGTGGCAACTGCAGAACACCTATTTTCGAGAAGAGTACGTGTTTGTGGAACAATTAGGGTGAACAGAGGCCTTCCTCCAGATCTGAAAGAGGAATGTACATCACTGAAACGTTGTGAAACCACATTCAGGAGGAAGGGGGATATTCTTCAGTCCTGGAGGGATACTCTTGTTGTGAATATGATTTCCACAATTCACAATTCAAGCATGGTTGATGTTCAAAGGAGACATGGACAGGTAAATAGCCTGTTTGTATTTCCGAGTATAATATGTTCATGAAGGGAGTTGATAGAGCTGATCAGTACTTGGCCTATTATTCTCTTCCTCTGAAAACAGTAAAGTGGACAAAGAAAGTTGCCTTGTGGCTTATAAATTGTGCCATTTTCAATTCATTTTTGGTTTTCAAAAATCGAAACCCTCATTCAAAATTGAAATATAAGGCATTTCTGCTGAATGTGGCAAAAGCCTGGGCTACACACCACATGGCGGTGGCAAAAGTGGCTGCAGACACAGTCTTAGTATGACCGGGGCCATCTACTCCCACCCCACACAGGCCTCATTTTGAACCCCCTGGGCGACTCAGGTGATATGTGGAAACATACCCTCACGAAAATTGTGAAGAGTGAACATTTCAAGGGGAAGCAGCCTTCTAGGCAATGCCGTGTTTGTGCAATTCACAAGAAAAGGAGTAGGACTGCCTACGTTTGCAAGTTTTGTGTAATGCCACTTCACAGAGGGGAATGTTTCGAGAAATATCACACCCTCAAGCACTTCTAGAAGCATTGGTAAGTGTTCTCAAAAAATTTTAGTTCACAAAATTAATTAGGAGATTTTATATTAATTTTTAAAGTGAACAGTGCACAAGTTAGGGGAGAAGGTATAAAAATGCTGGTCCGCATGGTGATTTAAATATTTAAATTGCCAGTCCGCAAAGTGTTAGGGCGGTATTATGGGTAAGTCAGGATGTTCAGGGTCTATGCAAGTCAAAAGATAATATACCAGAATCCAGAAGGCTATGATGGGCTGGCAACATTTCTAGGATACGTAAAACGAGGGCTTCATATACAATTCTGGTAAGTGAAACCATCAACTTGGAAGACTAAAAAAGGATGGGATGCCAACATGAAGCTAAATCTTGGGCAGAGATGTTGTGAGGATCAAGAGTGCATGGAACTGTCTCAGAATCATGTTCAACAGTGTGTTTTATTACTAGTAATGTTGAACCTTTGGGTTCTACAACCACAAAGTTAGTTAATCCTTGCACTGATGATTGCTTCTTCTGGGATGTGGTGATATGTTATTTGGTAGATAGATACCCATGTTTCAGAGGAACTTACTGCATAATGTTAATAGTCACTGTTATGAGAACTTCAAATCTCACATAATCCCAGAATCCACTGGAAACAATTGAGGAAAACCACAGCAATCTGAGTCAGCTGAACTAGTGTGGTGTCCAAAATACACATCTGGTGTGTTACTGCCAGTCAAACTTGGCTGAATATCGGACAACAGTCATTAATGATGGCCTAATATGCATAATGTAATAAGAATTAGCACATGTATGGCCCTTAACAATTCTAGGAAACAGAATCTCTCAAGATTTTATTCAAAGTTTTCATATTTTATGATATAAAAAGGTAAAGTTTAAAATTAATTCCAGAGAAATTAACCATTTTCAGGTTTATTCTGCTCATCCTGAAGAAGTATCAACGAACATGGTACAACTGTACTCACAATCAGAATATGCTGAGTGCTTCTATTGTTATGACTATTATTAAAGTATACACACATCTCAGAAAAGTTACAACCCATGAATGTTTGGCCACACAAACATAAAAGAAACTCAAGCACATAAAAATGTATACCAATCAACATAAATATCCACAATCTGGTAGTGATACTGTTATGCAATGACTTTAATAGAGTCAAGATATTAAAAAGAAAAAAATAGTGAAACACTGTTTCTTAAACACAAAGTTAACATTTACTGACTGGATGTCTGAAAAACAGAATATTCTACAATTCTTCAATCATGTACTTGGGCCCCTTCAGCAAATTCCTGCATTGTACTACCTACCTCAAAACTTCTAGCAAAATTCACATTTTATTTATGCTCATTAGACCAACATAACAAAAACACAAACACACCATAACATGGTCTACCTACTACTGAATACAGATGTGTTAGAGAAATATAAAAATTGGTCCAATTATGGGGGGGGGGACTGTGCAATTAAACCACATGCATATGTATGGATAAATGGTGTGACAATGTCAAAACACTGTGCAAATAAAAGCAAAACAAGGAACAGGTCACAGAGTCACAGAATTGTAAAGACATAGTCGACATAGAGTAACTCAACAAATACTTACAAAGTAAAAGAAAAGTAAAGCTATCCCTGTACCAGGCCATGAAGGCCCATATAGGGTTGTGAGACATTGAGGGTCCCACATATCTAAACAATTGGCTCAAAGATGGCGGTAAGGTTGTCAGCCTTACGTGCTGGCCGCGCTTTACTCCCCAGGAAAATTATTTAATTAATTCCTGGTACTCATTCCTGTTAGAGGCTGAGTCAACCCCAGGGCCATAGCGCGGCTTGAAGGATTAGGTCAAGTGAAAAAAAATCAATGACCTCATCGGGACTTGAACCCATGACCTTCCGGCTTGTAGCATAACCCCTCAACCAACTATGCTACCGTGTGGCCCTAAATACTTACAAAGAAATACATTTTTTAAAACTGTTACTATGGAGACTGACAATTTAGGTATTATTATTATTATTGGAGGGGGTGGGTTTCCCCATGCACCGCGACCAGTGGTCTATTGTACGTCCCCCTGTGATATTCTACCAGTCTCTACGCCCTACCGATACTGGTGCGTGCCATCAGTCCCGACTCAGCCAGTGAGTTCAGCCTCTACTGGCTCGGCGGTATCTCTTGATGCTTCCCCCATTTACCAGAGGTGTTAGAGACTACTGTTGGGCGGGAAATGTCCTGAATTTCGCTCAGTGGTCCCCTTGGGACATGAGGTTCTTTTACGTGCTGTAAAGCTACGACACAGGACCCATGGCTTAAAGTCCCTCCCGGAGGACTTGTTCCCTGAATTTTTCCGCCCTTAAAAATTCCACGACCTCCGCTGGGTTTGAACCCGTGTACCTTGAGTCATGAGGTGGGAACGTTACCCCTAGACTACGGAGGCTGCTGACAATTTAGGTATAAATATTATCCATTTTTCATACACCTACATCTATTGGTTTTCTTCACTTTATCATGAAGATAGAAAGCAGGCTGATGAAGATGTGAATATATGACTACTGCAAAGCATAGACCCTCTCAACGTTCTCAAGTCCAAAGATACCCAGTGACATGTACAGATAACAGAAGTATATTATGTTAAGCAGAGGCTGGTAAATTAGAATTGAGTAACACAAGACAGGACTCTGAACCTGGTAAACTAATCTTAGTACTTTCCAGTTTAATGAAGTGAACAAGTGGTTTGGAATCATGATATTGTAGCATGCAGATCCGTTGCTAAGCATCAACTGTGGAAGAAGCAGCTATACAACAGCCACTACTGAGTAACGGCTTTGCAAACAAGCATGTCTGCATGGCAACAAATGGATACAGCAACAGAGGAATGGCGTTTAATGTGCAGTCCATGCTGAGAGTTTCTAGCAGGACAGCTGAAGCAATGAGTGAGTTGTGAGACACAGCTGGTAAGAACGTGTGCATGGAAGCAGAGGATATCAACTCAGCTTCTAACAGAAATGAGTACCAGGAATTAATTAAATAATTTTCCTGGGGAGTAAAGCGCAGCCAGTGGGTAAGGCTGACAACTTTACCGCCATCTTTGAGCCGAATGTCTAGATAATGTGGGACCCTCAACATCTCACAACCCTACGGGCCTTCACGGCCTGTTACAGGAATAACTTTAC